ACAGAGTAGGTTTTTTCAGAGTGCTGTGACCCTGGGGTAAAATTCTGATTAAAATGTAAACATCAAGAGAGAGAAGCCAAGGCGCACAACTCATCTACCCGTCAGAGGTTCTGAGTTTGGGGTTGCTGGACAATGTCTCCATCCTTGCCACCCTCTGCGTTGTCCTTCATTCACCATCCCCAACCTCGAGTCCTCTTCTCCTCCTGGATCTGAGCTGTCCTTCATCTTAACCAGCTTCCTCATCTGGGACCTCAGAGAACATTCTAATGCAATGAACATCCTTCCTGACCTTCAGCCATATCTCTCTTGGTCATCTCCAACCCCAGGTCCCCTAGGATTCCGTGTCTCTGCTCACTCGCTGACACACGGTCACAGAACCACAACCACTAGGGCCGCCTATAAATGGACACATCCAAGGGTCACTGGGCCCTCCTCCTGCTCAATAATTCCCTTTTCCTCTCCCCTACTGGAGGTATCAAAGCAGTCATTTGACACCTTCTCCGTTCTTCTTAAGCCTTCGATTCCACCCAGCGTATGGTCTCCTGCGAAGACCGAGGGCTTCTGGGAGGGAGTGTCAATCTCCCTCCATCAGACTCAAATTCATGCGCGTGTTACTTTCGCTTAATGGCCTTGCTGTCTCAAATGAAGCATCTTTCCACTCGTTCACGTGTGCTCTTCAGTAACTTTTCATCCCTTTAAGGATCCTAAGCCCTGTCTTCCCTGCACTTTAACTGTCTGTTTTGGCTTGGTCCTTTTTCTTCAGCTTCAAAGAAAAAAAGCGCTGTATCTAAGTTCTCTTTCTTTCATGATTCGACTATCAGAAAGGGTCGTCGCCACTCATAGCCCCACACAGACAGCTCCACAACCCCTCTCCTGACCTCCACTGTCCTTCTGAAATGCGCCCAAGTCCTCCCGTGACCAAATCCGATGGCTGTCCTTGGCCTGCAACCTTCTCGACTCTTCTGAGGCATCTCAGACTCAATGTGATCAAAACTGAACTGACTGTGCCTCTCCCCACCCGCTCCCACCTGCCGACTGCTTACCTGTTTCTCCAAGTTGAGGCCAAACTGCCCAGTTGTCACAGCCCCAAGTGAGCTATCAAGTCCCCTTCCTTCCACCACGGTCTCATCTGTGCTACTCAACTCTGCCCTCTGCATTGCCATGACACACAGTGCTCTGTCCAGGCTCCACACACACACCCCCAACACTGCATGGGGCTCCTGGCCACCCTCCCTGTTGCTGAAATACCCTCCCAGACCCTCGGCTGTCTAAGAAGTAAGATTCAAGTATTTCAGCCCGAGAATTAAGGCCCTCTAGGCCCTGGTCCCAGCCTTTCTCTCTCAGCCTCCTCATCCTCCCCGCTTCCATTTCACTGCCCGCATTTCTCACTTCCCCTGAACTTGGGAAGAGCTCTCAGTTTCTGGAACTCCCCTGGGTGTGCTCACCTCCCTTCCAGAATCAGGCTGGTCCAACTCCATGCACTGTTTGTTCGACATGGTCTTCACTCAATGAAATCCTATTATTACTTTTTTCCCCAAGATTTGGTCAAGAGGCCATCTTTTCCTGCCTCCGTAACGAAGTTATTCATTCCTCCCCGAATCTACAGAGTTCAAATAGACTCATTTCTTTCTTACTCTCATCTCACATTCTTTTATGTTCTGTTACCTCAGTATCTACCTCATTGCCCCTATTAGATTTCAGGTTCTCAGGGACAGTGATGATGAGACTAACAGCCAGAGTCACCTCCACTGCAGACGCTCCCACCACATTCCAGTTCTGTGCAGACCACGTGACTGCATCATCTCAGCAACCTTACTGTCTCCGCTTCCAGATGAGATTAAGTAAAATGCCCAAGGCCAACACCTAGGTAGGATGTGGTAGAGCCAGAAACTCAATTTAGGTTTGTCCGACTTCAAAAGCCACACTCTTAACTACTACGTGAGATGGTATTTCTCACTGTCGGGACTCGGCCAATAACTGCTGAATAAAACATCCTCTCTCTCGGCCCTGGTAGGTGGGAGAGTTTACTTAACCAGGTTCCCCAGAGTTGCTAAGGCTTAATCAACACACGTATTTACGTGGGAGAAGAAACAGACAGCTGAGACTCTAACTCTTAAAGGATATTTTCAAAACCAGAAGAAAGTTTTTATGTCTCAAGATTCAACAGAACCTCAAATGCAAAGTGAGAGGAAAAACCGTATTCACCTGGGTTAGGTAACAACCTGATTTTTGTCTCTTTCCTGGGAACCACTGTTGTCGGTAAGGCAATGAATCAAGGCCACTCTAAAACCTGCTGTAATTTAAACCATGTTTAGACAGAGCTTCCAAACTTCTAATTTCTGAGGCTCTGATATCAGCCCTGGGAAAGCAAGGTGATTTTATTCTGTTGATAGAATCAGAACCAACGTAAATGTGGGGCTGCATTTCACCCATGAACACGCAAACAACGTGCAGCACACACAGGGCTCAGTGTAAGGAAAAGTGGTGGATGCTGATCTCTAAACCTAAGCGGGCAGGTAAGGGCTGTAATCCTCCAAGAGGAATGTCATTACACAGCTCCAATCCTATCACAACAAATGCTGTTACAACAGAGATGTCTGTATAACAAAAGCCCTTTCAAGCTTTGGCTGGCAGCCCACGTACTTCAAGCAATATTTGATGTGAGACTTGGAGTTCAGTAATGGGAATTGACCTATATTTCCAAAGGTAAGATCTGTAAGATCTGAATGATTTCATCTGTAACTTCTATCCCAGGATACTGTGAGTTGGAGGGATGTACAATTTAAACTCAGGAGTGAAAAAAACAAAACAAAACCAAAAAACTACAGACAAAGATAGAACCAAAATCAACCGTGTTCTTGAAGGGCGAAATTCCTTCCTTTCGCTTTGGGAACCCTTAGGGAAAAGAGAAGGCTCCCAGCCCAACCCTGAAATAAAGCCAACCAAAGCTGGTTTTGGCCTCCTCTCACTGAGAGGTAAGCTGGTGTTAACACATGAAGACAGATCAACTGTGGTCAAATTTCTTCTCTGCCACTTACTGGCTGATTCACCTAGGCTATATTTCTTAACTTCTTGTGATCCTCGGTTTTCTCATCTGTAAAATGTGACTAGGACCACCTACTTTCAGGATTCCGATAAGAATGAAATGAGAAAACATATGCAACACTCCGAACATAGGGCCTGGTACCCAGCATCTGCTCCAAAAAATGAATTCCCTCACCAGGGCTCCCTTCCCCTCTGAGACTCTGGGCTGATGCAAACTATTTTGATGAAGTTAGTTATAAGACCTAGTGAATGAAGTTAACAAAACACAGAGTCACAAATACAGCCTGGTAAAGATGCTGCTCAGAGGAATACTGGGGAAAAGAGTTAAACTGCCTTTGCTCAGTAGGATACTGTGAAAGTATTAATTTCTCGTATTCTCCCTCTGGGAAACATGTAGGTAAACAGTTTAGGAATATGATCAACGAAGAGTCTCGACACTGCCCTAATTTGTGATGTTTTTAATCCTACTGAGTTTTAGATATCTACTTTTCCCTTTTCCAAATTCTAGGAAAATCAAGTATATAGTAACAACATTCTTATATATGTTCTTTTGAAAACACTCTTGGTGTTACATGAAATGTTTTGAGACAGAAAAGGAGAGTGCTATAAACATAATCTGAAGGCATGTCTGTTTGCCTTTATAAAATAGATACTGTCTAGGGGTTTTAAAATTTCTTAAAAGGACCCAAAAAGTCCTATCACACCCTCAGTAACTATAGGGAACAAGAGATGGCCCAACCTTTCTCAGTCAGAGAACGTCAGACTTTTCACAATGACTTAGTTTTAGCCCTTCACCTCGACAGGCTGGAAGAGGCTCTGGGAACAGTATGGGGTGATGTTCATGTGCTCAAATAAAGTGTATGTACAAGCCAGACCATGAGCTTGCAGGAGCTCTCATGAGAGGCAACACAGAAATAAAGTAACAGGCCGGGCAGAAATACCAAGGTGCAGAGAAAGAAAGAGAAACTGTGAGACCCCCAAAGAGATGGAGGAGCCCTGGGGGAGAAGACCAAGGGATCGAGAACGGAGAACAAAATTATTAAAGCAAGGTTAAAACATGGACAGAAACCCAGTGGTAGCAGCAGAGGAGAGATTTTAAATTCCAACGGCACAGAGCTTACAAAGGGTGACTCCAATACACAGAAGCTTCAACCTGGACAGAGGTTTCTGGCCTCTTTTTCAGTAACTGTGTCCCCCCCTTCCCTCCCCAGTCACCCTCATCTTAAAATGGAGGCAGTCACAAGCACCAGATTGTACACTTGAATCTTACCACTGCTAAGGGCGTAAACCACAAGCATTTCTGAAGGCGTGCTAACTATTTCAGGCCACTAGGGTGCTACTTCCTGCCCCAAAAGGCACACTTCACTTAATGAGCCCTATCTAGAGCCCAGGAATTGATGTTCCTCCTAGAAGTGTGCCCTTTATCCCTCACACCAGCGATTATCAGTTTATAAGGTATTTCAAGATCCCCATAGGGTATGTAAAAGTGAAATGCAATTGTAATTACATGGGCAGTCACAGAAAGACAGAGGTAGAAAGAGCATCTGAAATGCAAGGCTAAGGAACACTGTTCCTCAGAGGGGCAAGCCACTACGCCCAGCAGAGCCTGTGCTGCCTCGAAAGTGACCTCAGGGAGGAATCACGCGCCTGGACAGACGCGCGGCCGCGCCCTCCTCCCCCGCACCTCCCTCCCGCATCCCAGGCCAGCTGGTCCACCTGCCCAGGAGGCGGCGGGGGCGCTGGGCGGAGCCGGGCTGGCCGCTGGGCACAAGGGTAGCGGGTGGCTCTCTCCTGCCCTCCTCCCTCCCGCGACTCCCCGGACGCCCAGGGATGCCCCAGGGCCTCCCCCTCCCCCTCCCGCACGCCCGACCACGCGCCCCCGAGCGCGTGCTCCCCGCTGCTGTCTGTACCTTTACTCTGGGGAGGGTTCTGACTCCGGTCCCGGAGGACATTGATCTGGTAGACGGCTCCGTAAGGCTCAAAAAGTTCTTTCAGCTCCTTTTCCGACCAGGACCGGGGGATCTGTCCGACAAACATCTTAATGGCATCTGGGTCTGGTTGGTCTGAGTGATCCAAAGCGCCGTTCATCTTGTTGGCTGTGCCGTTACTGTCAAAAAGGGAAGCAGGAGCCAGAGTTAGGGCTGCAGGGTGAGGGACAGGAAGACAAAAAATCGGGGGTGGGGGTGGGGGCGGGGAGGCGGAAGGAGGAGGAAGAGGAGCACGGGGCAAAGTGCCTAATGAGTCGTGGAAATTTGATGAACTAAAACAAAGCACAGGCACCATTAGGTTGCTCCTGGGCAGCGGCGGCGGCGGGCTCTCACTGCAGGCTGCCGTTCAGCATCGCCGCCCCAGCCCAGGGCAGCGCCCCGCCGGCTGTCACCCGGGGCGTGGACATCTTGAAACCCGGCTCGGGAGGCAGCTGCAAGTTAAGTGCAGGTCTCGCTCGGCAAGGCTGCCATCAACGCATTCGCAGCGTTATCAGCCCCACACTGGCTCTCGTGTGGAAAGAAAGGCAGGGCTGGGTTTCTGCTGGATCTCCCACCCCTCCGCCCCTTTGGGGAGGTTTTTGGAAGAGAGGAGAGAGGTGGTAATAATAAAGTCACATGAAAAGAAAATGAAACATTTGGCAGTCCGTCAGATGACTAATGCAAGATGCCGGTGATGAATTTGCAGAGCGCGCGAGGCATCCATGTGTGCATCAAATTAGTACGTTGTTGCTGCTCAGAAGGCAAAGTGCTCCAGCACTGCGGCTCGGGTGCAGCCGATTGGCTGCCCACGCTGGAGAAAAGGGCCCGGGGCGGGGAGGGGGCTCTCGTTTAAAAAGCACATTGTTTATGGGACCCGGGCACAAAGGGTTTAATTCAGACAGGCAAAGGCGATCTCAGAATTGCCTGCTTTGTGCCGGGAGGAGAGAGAGAAAAAAAGCAGCCCCAGAAAGTTGAGTTCCCGCTAAAGGACACTGAATATTTCAAATCTTTCACACTCCATAAATTGCTCTCTGTATATCTGACATCCAGATGTTGCACTTGAGTTCTAAACAATCACACGTTTGGGAGAGAGAAGAGGAAAGTCTGTCTTTTTTTCCTTCTAGCTTCAATAAATATTTGGGGCTGATATAAAGAGCAAGACCGTAAGATTTTACCTATCAATCTTTCTTCATGCTGTTTTCCAAAATCCTCATTTGAAAGAGAGAATGCTTGTTTAGAATCTGCAATTCTAGTCACCGTCATGTAAAAGGATGATGAAGGCATTCATTTTTTACTTGGATCCCGCCTATCTGAGCTGCAGTAACGCAAAACCACAAACCATCTTCACCTCCCCGCCTCCTAACGCACCCTAAACCCACCTACTCTGCCAAGTGACAGGGTCGAGAGCCCTGAGCAGCATTCATTTGCGGTGCTCCTGATTCTCAGCCTTCAAAAATGAAATACTTGAACTCGGCAGACACGTTATCTAAGAGCCGTGTACATGACTGGCCCCCAGCCGCCAGCCTCCATCCAGCTCAGGAGGCAGAAAGGTCATAAAAGGGCCACATGGACTAAAACTTCACCACAAACGGTCACTTCATTATAGCCTCAGGATAACAGTAAGAAGGTATTCAAAGATCTTAAGCAGGGTTCCTTATTTGGTCAAAATAATCAATCAAAAACCATCAGAGAACCTTAAATTTGCTGCAGAACAAGGCTATTCCTGAGCCCTTGGGGGAAAGAAAGAGACAATGATGGCTAAACACCAAACAACAACAGTGAAACCCACGGAAAGGAGAAATCCTGAATTCAGCTTAAACCAGAGAGGAAAATAATGGCAAGTACTCTTCACTAGGTCCTCGCTTCAATTTCTGCATCTTCTTGTCCCCCAATTTACCACTATTTTTTTTATCCTTGAGATAAACAATCAGCCTGTCTAACTTGAAGTATGTTCAGAGCTTTCCCTCATCAACCTTATTGTTATAAAAAATGTTCTGCTGAGTACAATACTGAGCACAAAATCTTCTTTCAACAGTTTAGGTGTAATGTAATGCTTGTTTACATTAGAGCTCGATCATTTATCTTGTTCCCAGGCACCTATACTTTTCAAGTCGCCCTCTGAGAATTCAATAAAAACACTTTAACCCCGTGGAGCCGACTCGGGCAAGCCCCGCACAGAACAGAATGCAGCGCTCACGGCTCGTTGAGAGCTGAGTGTGTGGCAAGACTTACTTCTGGGACAGGAAGGACTTGCGGTTACTGCTGTTGACAATAAGCTAGAGTGAAAAGAGGAAGGCACAGCCGCAGGTCTCAGCTAACAGAGAACGGAAGTGCAACGCACGCGGCTGCTGCATCTTGCCTGTGTGGAGCACAGTTAATATAACGGCGGACTTAGGCGACAGCACGCTAGCCCTAGTATCTTAAGTTAGAGCAAGGGTTCCTTAGTGTGTCTCCAAATGAGGGGCCTTTCTTACTTTCTCAAAAGACACACCCTCACTGAGGTACCTAACGGAAGGGAAAAGCCACACGCCCTGCCCCTTTAGTCTTCACGCCGCTGAGCGCTCATTTATAATCCCTGTCCCACTGGCCACCCTTCACAGATGCCTTTAGACCTCCTCTCCTGAGGCAGCGGGGCATCAGGGCTCTGGGTCTGAATCCTAGCACCACCACTTCCTAACGGTGCCGTTCTGGGCCTCAGACCCTTCATCTGTAAAATGGGAACGACGTACTCCACGCCAGAGAGTCATGTGCTTAGCCCAGGTCGTGGCTCACAGTGAGCATCTAATCAGTGTCAGCTGTTTCCACTATTCATCTCTTCTTTGCCCTTGTGATGCATTAGAAATGAGTGACCATCACAAGTCTACTTTTTCTTCCAAATGTTTTCATAGTAGGGACTCAAACACAAGTCATAATATTAATACTAATACTAAATAATAGTACTAACAATGTGCATCTTTCAGTGAGTACTTCTATGCCAGACACTAAGCTAGTGCTTTGTTTCTAATCCTTATAACAACTTCATGAGAAAGTATGATTTTCCAGATGCAAACATCTAAGAAATAAGTTCCTTTCCTAAGATTACCAGCTTATAAATTCTACACGCAGAATTCAAACAGAGGCCCAATGCGCTCCAAAGGGTGGAATATTTCTAAACCAACATGTGGCCAAGTACCGCATCAGGTATGCCTTGGGCTGAGAGTAAACAGCTCATGATAAATTTGTGAGAAGACAAGGCCAAGAACAAGACCTACCGGTTCCCTGGAATCATGTGGCCAAAAGGCAGCATTAAAAGAAACATATACACACACCCTTCCTCTTTCTATGTGTGGGAAAATAGGGCCCAAGGCTGAACCTAAGGGTCCATTAAGACTACCTTAAAACCCACATTTTCTCCAAAATCACAACGTGTCTTCACCTCCAGAGATTCCTCTTTCCCTGTTCCCACAGGACCACACCAATGAGCACCTCTCATCCACGTCTACATCCTTTCCCAGCTACTTCCCATTCTGCAAACAACTGTTCCAAAGCTTTGCATCATCGGCGAAGAGCACAACAATCTTTTCCTTAATTAATCCAACCACATCTAGTTATTGTCCACAATTCACCACAACGGCACAACTTCCCGACTGAGCGCTCCTGGGTAGGACAGGTGGTCCTACCTGACTGATGATCCCCGTTGTTCCTGAACCTCCTGCCCTGGATCCTGATGGCATTGCAACAACTGGGTCAACTTCATTCCAATGCACCCAAGCTCCTCCTTCTTTAACTTCCAACTTCCTTCCTGGCTGATGCTCATTTCTACTGGAGACTGACTGACTTCTTTTGTCCTCATGGGGCTTCAAGTGTTGACACTTCTAAGGAAGCCAGAAGTTACGTGTCCAACAGTTAAACCTTCAGGGGTGCTTGCCAGAGGCCATGGAGAACCAATGCACTCTTCACAGAGGGGTGATTATGGGAACGGAGACCCCCAGCTCTCTGCAAGAATCTCATTTAGGTCTATCTACTGGAATCTGGTCTCAGGCTTACAAAATTAGACTAGCCTGTTTCTCCACACTCCCTGCCCGCCCTCAGCACCCAGTACAGTGCAGAACTTAGATTCAGATTCAAGTATTTATTGCATACTGGCTCCTCGCCAGAAGACTTCGCCAAGTCCTGGACATACAGAATCACGAGCTCCGTGAAGGCGAAACTACTACCTCCATTTTGGAAATGAAGCAGTTGAGAGTCATGGAGGGAAAGTGACTTTTCCAATGTCACACCCCTAAGAAGAAGTGTCAGCAGAATCTGGACACAGCACAATATAAAGGCCAGCTGTCACTGCTTCATATCCCATGGACTGGGTTTCTCTAGGGTGATGTTCCCTGTGGACTCAGAGCTCATTTGCAGGCCTGAGACACCAGCTCGTGCATCTCTGCTGGCATCTCACCTGCAAACTACAATCCTCTCCTGGACGCCAATTCTGCTTTTGCTTTTGGCGAAAAACCAACTATAAGGCTGCTTCAGGACAGATGCCATGTGGAACCGGACCACAAGTCAGAGAGCACTACGCCAGCGGGAACCGGTGGTATCAGTCTCAGAGCCAAGACGAAAATATAACGATGTTTGGGGGAAAAAAATAAGAGTGCTTGCTTACTCTTCGCTTTTAGCACAGGCACTGACCTACTTCCCTACTCTATTTTCGGGTAAAGAGAACTAGATCAAGAGAGGATATGCAAAAATCTTATGAGGTTCCTCTACGCAGCAAAATATTATAGAAATTATAATAACTCACTCAATGCATTTTCATCGTTGTTTTAATTCCAGCACAACGAGCTCTTAGAAGGCCCAGTGACTGCAAGTTTCTTTTCGGAGACCGCAAATGAAAGAACTGTACCTTCTATTCTTTCATCACGGGCAGTAGCTTTCTGCCATGTATCTCCTTTATCCATACAAAAGGAAGAATAACAAACTGACAAAATGGGTAAGAGAAATGCCAACTGGCTATAAATAATTTTGAAAATGTTGAAAAAAGAAGACATAAAATGCCACCTTCAGAAGCTATACCAACCCTAAACAACACAAAAAGATGCCCTGTCTTGGAAAAGTTTTGAATGAAGATGGCTGATCTCCCTGGTAGCTACTAATAACCTCATTATTCCCATACTTTCTTCTCCATCTTGCTTTGCTGCTGTTGTGATGCCTTGCAATATCCCCTATCAGTGCTGTCCAACTGCGTGCGAGGGTGGAAATGTCCTATGACCTGCCACGATCCAATATGGCAGCCGCCAGTGACACGTGGCTGCTACACACTTAAAATGAAGCTACTGCAACTGAGAAATTGACTTCTCCATTTTATTTTACTTTAATTAAATTTAACAGCTTTAAGTGCAAATATACTTTTTTTTTTTTTTTTGGTTCCAACTAATTAGAGTTGAGATTCACTGAAACATTTCATCAGGAAGTCGTTCTGGGGAAAGAGGGGGAATGAGGGGCCAGGAAAATGAGCTTGGGCACTCAGTAACTCGTCAGTGGCCGTGGGCTGGCTGGCTTGGGTTCTGGTTTTGGCTCAGCATTGAATTAACTGTGGGAATCCCAGGCAAATCCTGTAACCACTCTGTACCTCAGTTTCCTCACTTGTAATACAAAGAGAGAGAACAGGTCCCATCTGGCTCCTAATTTCTGTGGTTGTGCGAGTGGCTGAGTGGCTGGTGGCCCGGGGTTGCTGCCAGACCATCTTCTCCCTCAGTTTGTGCC